AATACTGTTTCTCTCACTTGTGGCACTGGGAAGAGAAAACATTGATATAGGTAATTCAGCATAATATATAACATGTAATATTTATATGTCATGGTATATTTTTCAAAGTGTTTATATCAGTACTCTTTATTATTTTAATATTAAATTATATTACTATATTAGAAGAACTGATTATTTTTTATGTAATGTAAGAGATACTTTGATATCTTGGTAATGTTAGTATTAATAATGATAAATAATAAAAACTAACAATAGAATTTCCACATGATCCAGCAATTCCACTTCTGGATATATACTGCAAAGAATTGAAAGCAGAGTCTCTAAGAGATATTTGTACACCCATGTTCATAGCAGCATTATTCATAATAGCTAAAATGTGGAGGTGTCCATTGAAGTATGAGTAAATAAACAAAATGTGGTATATACATACAATGGACTATTATTCAGCTTAAAAAGGAAGGAAATTCTGACGTATGCTACAACATGGAATAAAACTTTGAGGACATTATGTTAAGTGAAATAAGCCAGTCACAAAAAGACATATGCTGTATGGTTCCACTTATGAGGTACTTAGAGTAGTCAAAATCATAGAGACAAAAGTAGAATAGTAGTTGCCAGGAGCTGGAGGGCGGGAGAATGGGGAATTATTGTTTAATGGTTATAGAGTTTCAGTTTTATAAGATGAAAAGAGTTGTGGAGATGGATGATTGTAATGGTTGCACAACATTATGAATATATACCACTGAACTTTATAGTTAAAAATGGTTAGGGTAGTAAATCTTATATATATTTTCCCACAATTTTAAAATTTGGGGAAAAAATCATTTTAAAAGGTTGGCATCTTAAAGCTTTAAATTTCACTGGTCTGTGTAATCTAGTTCTAAAATGCTATGGACTCTAAAGTCTTCATTCCAGCTCTGAAATTCTGTGATCCTTTAGTTGTCGGAAATAAGCTAGAAATTCCTTCTTGGCCTTTAATTTTGCGGTTCTGTAGTATCACAAAACTTGATTGTTGTTAACATCAAATATAAATTTCTTTATGCTTTTATTTCTTTATGAATTTCTGCAGATGTATTTGATAAAGAATACAAGATGGCATATGATCGTCTCACACCTAATCAAGTTAAGAGTACACACAACTGTGATAGACCACCAAGTACGGGGGTGATAGAATGTCGAAAAACCTTTGGAGAACCTTATCTTTAAGATGTGTGTGTATACTTCTAATATGTATTGTATAGTCAGTGTATAAAATAACACTTTTAGACTCTAAACTTTTTTCTTCAATTTTTAAAAATGCATTTGTAAATGATTGAGAAAGTTCATATAGCTTATGTACAGAATGTTTTAAGAAGAAAATGATTACAAGCGGGAGAGAGCCACTTTGTTTCCCATTTCCTTTTTTTTTTTTCTTCCCCTCTAACAAGCAATTATTTTTGTGATGAGAAAATCCCTAAACACAATTAGTTCCCATAAAATGGAAAACCGATTATGGTTTCTCTTGGAAGAGACAGATTGAAATATCATGTATGGAACTTAAAGAAATGTAAGATCAGAGTATCTCTTGTTTTCATAGACTGTTCAAACCATGAAGTTGTATTATACATATTTTAAATTGTTTATAGTAAGTTGATATTTTTTTAATTTTTAAACTTAATAGAGCAAACTTAAAAGGAACTTAAACTTATGAAGCAAGCAATTAACTGCTTATTTTCCTTGTCTGCTATTTGAAGTAATTAGTACAGCTGCAGATCTCTATAGCTATCTCTATATATATATATATTTTATTACTTGGGAGAATGATTTTAAAATGTCAGTGCTAGTGTCATTGTTGTCCTAGGATTGCATGTTAAGATTCCTAAGCCGGACTTCAGTGAGTCATGACAACAGTGTGCACTGCCCAGACTGACTCACTGAGCCTGTGGAAGGAGAGCCAGAGAGGTTCTGAGTCTACTTCCGCAAAATCAGGTTCAATGTACAATTATTCCAAAATTTCCCTATTGCTAATAGGTACATACAGTACATGGGAAAAGTAACTTACAAAGCCAAATATCAACTTATATTTTAATATTGTACATAATGTACATTTATGTTGGGAAATATGTCAGACAATTTATTCCAAATTTTACCTTTAATATTTGAAATGTTAGGTATGATGCAAATTGTACTATATTTATCTGGAACATGACTTACTGGAATATTCTGTT